AAGACATTAACAAGGACAAGTTTTCATCCTCGTAGTCATTAGTGGGAGATTCAAATGCAGAAAGCAGAAATGGGTCATCCTCTACCTTTGGCTCTGCCGGCTTACATGGGGGAAGAATTTGGCCCCTTGTGTTCAAAATGATTTAGATCTGAAATACTTGTTTTTCTGCTACAGCTCAGCCCTGTGGGGATGCATGCTGTCTGCATGACTTGCCACATAAAGGCACAGAGTCTAGGGTACAAAAAAAACCCAGAAATGTAGATTGTTCCTAAGAGCATAAGTTGCATCCCTGTTATATTTTTTGAGTCTTCATGAAGGAAGGAGTCAGAATAGATGTTAGAAGCAAAAAAAAAAAAAAAAAAAAAAAAAAAGATGAGAACAAAATTCTACTTGCAAGTCTGTTCCATGTAGCTCTGGATCCATTTTGGAGAACCTGGAGACTGGTGACCAAGTGTTTTCTCATACAATGGAGAAAGGTTGGGCAGTGGTGGTCACCTGTGTCACATTCCTCTCAGGTTTTCCATAATCATGTGTGTTAAAGCCCCTACTGGACTATTCTTCTCAACTGTGTTTGTAGATAACTGTAATATTCAGTCCTTTGTTGTACATGCATTCAGAAATGTCACTTGCAATAAGCATCATCCACAACCTGTCCCTGAGAGAGAGATGTAGAAAGAGATGGAGAGAGTGGGAGAGAGTGTGTGTGTGACATGATATAAATGAGCTGACAGCTATGCAGCTGAATTTGCCTTACACCAAATCAGTATCAAACCTGCCTTAGTTGTAAGTCCTGACCCTTTGGTGTCTGCACCTTCAAACCAGACAAAAAGAGCCACTTAACAATACCAGCCTCTTGCTTGGCCCTGTCCACTGTATCACAGCCATGTTCTTCATTGCCTGGGAACTGTTGTTGTTCTTACTTCTGTTCAGCAGAACAACCAGGGTGCTGACCTTGTGACTCTTGACTAGTTTGTGACAGGATGGGGATAGCTTAGACTGTAACACTTTACTGCTGGAAGCTCACTTGTGATTCAGAGATGTCGTGGATTTTGAGATAAATGAATTCTTTATGCTCCCCCTCAGAGACGACAACATGGGAAGGCCTGGCTGCCTTCTGCATGTAAATGCTCTGTCAAACCAATTCCAGGCTGAGGTGGGGGAAGCTGATGGGGCACCATCATTCTCTATCTCCTGTTAGTACTACATCCCTGAGATGTGTGCTGTTACCATACAGTCTAAGGCACCTGTGGGTTCAGCAAGGGCTGGAATGATCCCTGGTGCTGGCTGGGGGCAAGGGCAGAAAGGATAAAGATGGAGGTGCAGATTGATGGCAAACAGAAGCTGTGCAAAGAGGAGCTGCCTTCACAGATAGTGAGAGTGCTTGACCAGATGTGTGATGGAAGCAGGAAGGATGGCTTCACAGATGTGGTTTATTATCCTTCCCATGCAAAGCAGTTATGCTCATTTCAGATACAACACACGGTTGTTTGTTGGCTCCTATGAATATAAAAAGCCCTACAAACTTTTTAAAGTGATTTATGTGGTTAAAACATGATTACAAACAGGACAGGATCAAAAAATCTCCAGGGGCCAAGTTCCCGGAGTTATGTGAGTACCTAAGAATCTGAACTTTAATTAAAACCAGGAAGAAACTGAAACCTCCGAGAATGTTTCTAACTATTGTAGCTGAAGAGGAAACTTGCAAGTATGAGGAGAGCATAAGTAGGCCAGCAAGATCTGATTGAGTCTGTAGCAAGCTTGAAACAATAGCTGAGAGAGGGTGATTTTTCCCATGCACTGCAGTGGAACATTAACTGTATAATCAGCCCTGTAGGGTCTATCTTCTCAGTAGTAATGTCAGATGGACCAGGGGAATGCCACAGGGGTCAGGACAGGATGGAAAGGGACTGAAAATTGGCTTAGTGTCTTTGAGAAGGAATACGAGCAGGAAAAAAAAACAAATTGGTACATTTTTTTCTTTCTCTCCTTCTCTGAGTGCTTTGTTCTTTGAACCTTGAAAGGGAACCTGATGATCAGCTGTGCTTTGTGCTGGCTTGTCTTTGAGACCATTTGTTGCCTGTGTTCTTTTAAAGCTGAAATGTTAGGAAGAGATCATTATTTTTCCTCTTTAGCTTGACCTCTTCCTGCCTTGGAGAGTTTCTTCCCATGTACTGCCTCCCATCCTTCTCACACAATGCTATGTTAAAATAACGTTCAAGAGAAAACTTGAATTCCTAGGGAAAAAAAGCTTGACATTTAGAATGAGGCGAGTCATAGAACAGAAAGACAAGAGTGTCTGCAACATGTCCTGTGCCTCTCCGGAGGTGCTGTGAGGTGGTGGATGTCAGTCACTCACTGCCTCTGTCTGTTTCTGAAATAGCTATGTTAGTGCAAACACTTCCATAAGATGTGAACTACCCCACGGGTAACTTGTGCCCTGTGAACAGTAGGCACTTTACCCAGCAGCAGTTTATCATGAGCAGAAAGGTTATCTGTGGTTACGATCTTGATTGCCCAGCAAATTGCTGAATGCCTGGGGAATTGGAGGAGAATGTGCAGCTGTAGGTTGTGTGGGTTCTTCACTGTTTCACAGCAAGGGCTGGCAGCTGAGTGCTTAAGATGCCACAGGATCCCGACAGTATTTGTTGCAGGCACTGGATGTATGAGCCTCATTCTGTACCAGGCCACCTTGAGGTTGTGGCATAGCCTGGAGTGTTAAATGTGCCAGTGCTCTGCATTGTGAGGCTAGTAAAGATCTGCATCCAGCCAGAGGCAGATCAACACTATCTAAACTAGCCAGGATGGCACAACTATGTTTTTATTGAGGGAGCAACAAAGTACATATTTCAGTTACAGATAATTTTTTTCATTCCTCCTGTTTTTGCTCTTTCCCCCATCCCTGCAGTAAATGCTACCTGCCAGCTAAAGGGCATGGGCCTATTTATATGGCCAGTACACATGACCACCTGTTTGGTGTCAAAGTGCTTTGCCCTTTGTGCAGCTGCAGATCTGCTTGGCTCAATGTGATACAGTGGTGCAGGGATTTGAGGCTTTTGTTTCTGCTGTTTACAAAACATGAAAATTGTGGGTTTTTTTTGTGAAGGAAAAAATGTTCAGAAATGAAAACATCATAAAGCCATATCAGAGCTCCTTACACAAATTAAGTGAAATCCTGCAGCATGATGTGTCAGAGGTCCGACCAGGTCATCTGTCCAAATGGGATTAGGGATTGTGCCATTCTGTCTTCTGTATAGCACATTTAGCAAAGAAAATAGAAGAGACTTTTGATTGCAATGCCTTCCCATGGTGCCAAAAATAGCGGCCTCCAAGCTATCCCGTTATTACTTCTCTCTAATTAAGAATTGGTAATTCAGACTGCAGTATGTAGGACACACAGAGTGCCCAGCTGCGAGATTGCACATGACCAAATGATTTGCTTGTCTGGGCAAGTTTTTGTGCACAGGGACTCCCTTGGGTGATGGGCAGAGGTAAAAATCTGATGTGTGTGAGGGAGCTTGGAGTAAGCTAAATGCTTACCTTTCTTTTTCTTAGGGACTGTTTTCCCAGTGTGCTTAAGTGGAAAATACATTTGCTTCCTAGTCTTGAAGCTGTTGTACCAAGGGAAAATATTGCATAAAAGAATTTTTAAAAATTGGAGAAGTTAACGTGGAATACTGTAATTGAGGCTCAGAGAGTGTAAAAACTTAAAATTAGTTTAGCACATCACTTGGCAGATGGGAAGTCGATTATGTAAATCTAGGAGAGTGGTAGTTGGATTTGGTTGGTCTAATTTAAATGCTGCTTCTAATCATTTTCAGTACGTGTACAGAGAATTATAGGATAACCATTATTCTGCCAAGAGGGCTCTTCGTATTTAAATTTAAATCCACGAAAGAGTACCCTATTAAACTGTAAACATGCTGTGATAACAAGCAGCTAATTATGCGGGCAGGTTAGTCCAGCTGCTCTGCTGGGCAGCTGTGCACACGTACTTCAAATGAGGCCTTTTCTCATATCCTAGAAGTCACTGGCAGGGTCACTGCAGGGTCAGGGGGTGCCTGGGCTGCAATGGGAGCTCCTGTGACTCATGCTGATCTGTGAGCAAATGGGCGCTCACACGTTTCTGGTGAAGCCAGGCCCCGACAGCACCAGGAGCACAGCGTTGGCAGCTCTCCCCTCATCCTGGTTGTCTCCAACTGAACTGCAAACTCTGAGCAGCATCTTTGGAGAACCTTCCTCTTTGTATCTTGACAGCTTTCCTGTTTTGCCAAGAGGAAGATCATAGGGGAGCTGCCTAAATGACAGCTTGGTTTGATACCTGAGCAGTAAATGAAGGGAGAAGGGAAGCCTCAGCCTGGCCCACGGGAGCGTGGGTGTGAGCAACTGCTGGGGCAGTGGCAGGCGGTGTGATGGGGGCAGGAGGGAGATGGGGCCTGGTACCTGACGGTGGAGGTGGTGTTCACCAGCAGGAGGCCATTTTTGTAGATGTGAGGCCCGTGCAGCCTAGCATCACTTCGCAGGTTGATGTTGGTTGGCTTTTCTTTCTTTGCAGCAGGGGCTCAGACTGTATCTCTCGAAAGGTGCGTTAACAATGAGCAGGAGGACCGACGCCAAGGCTTTATTCCTTAAGTACAGCACAACCCGCGTGTTTGGATGCGGAACTCCTGCTTTACAGACGCTGGGGTCAGGAGGCACAGGCTGCTGGAAGCGCGAGAACGGCACTCGGCAGGCGCGCGGCCGGAGCTCCAACCCCCAGCCCGACCTGCGGCCCCCGGCCCCGCTCCTCCGGGCCGGAAGCGGGCGCGCGGGGACGGGAGGAGGGCGGCCGGGGGGAGCGCGCGCATGCGCAGGAGCAGCCGCCGGCCGCGCCCCGCCCCCGGCGCGGAGGGGGTCTGGCGCGCTCCCTGCCCGCGGCGCGAGGCCGGGCCCGGCGGCGGGGAGCGGCGCGGAGGAGCGGCGCGGCGGGAGGGCGTGAGGGAGGGCGGGCGTGCGGCGGACGGTCGGACGGTCGGGGTGAGAGGATGTGAAGATGGCGGAGCTGCAAATGCTGCTGGAGGAGGAGATCCCGGGGGGGCGCCGGGCCCTGTTCGACAGCTACACGAACCTGGAGCGGGTGGCCGAGTACTGCGAGACCAACTACATCCAGGTGCGGCGGGGCGGGGCGCATAACGGTCGCCGTCCGCGCGACGCGGTGCTGAGGCGGCGAGCGGGCAGCCGAGTGTCCTCCCCCGCTCGGCGCCGCAGCGGGCCCGGGGAGTCTGAGGGCGGGGGAGCGGGCGCTGAGGGAGCGGGCCGTGCCGCCTCGTGCCCCTCGGCCGCGTGCGGCTGCTAACGGCGGCTGACGGCTGCGAGGCGCCGCGACGAGCCCAGGAGGCAGCGCTGTGCTGTACGTTCGGCGGCTGCACTCCTTAGCGCTCGGCACGGCGACACGCGCTCGGGTCGCGATCGCGTGGCCGAATGGAAGAGCGTCCCCTGATGCAAAACGGGATCAGTAACGGCCGAGGGTCGTAACGTCGTGGATTTGCGGTGTCGGTGTTGAGCCGAGTGCGAGGGCTCCCTGCGTTTGTGCATTCCGTCCCCGAGAGCGCTCGTGTGGCGGCTGGGGGCGGGGGGAGCGGCCGTGCCTGGGTGGGCGAGACGAGGGGAAGAGTTGTGTGTGTGGGGAGCGCCGGCGGTGTGCCGGGCTGCTGGGGCGCCGACCGACCGCTAGTGAGACATCGCTGCGGATCTGGGGTCATTCACCAAACACAGGGATGCAATTAATAACGTTTCAGCGTGACTTAGCTTGACTTACGTTCTGTAAGAGAAACGCAGTGAAGTATTATTGTCATAAACGGACATACGTGCGTTTAAATTTGTGCTGTTTTAAGAAAAAGGAAAGGGATCTTTTTCTGGAAGCGGAGCATGAAAGGCAGAACTGGATAGGAAGAGGTGGATTTAGCTTGTTGATTTGCTCTTCCCGTGACCTTTTTTATTCCTTTCTTGTAAACCAAAGACTATAAAATCTGTATTGAACAGCTCCACTTTCATTGTTTCAGTAAAAACTGCAGAGCAAGATTCCGTGGTGTTTTATGCAGAGAATGAAAAGATAGGGTTCTTCCCACAGCCGGCATACAGCCCATAAGGACAGCCTGAGCTGAGGGCAGCCAGTTAGTGAGGGAAAGCAGGGAGTGAGGCTTGATTGGTCAGCCCACTGGGTTCTGGCTGCTGTACAGCACTCCGCGGTTGTTGGCAATTTGTCCAAGCATCACTGCAACACAGAGCTGTAAGAGGGAGGTGAGAATGGACGGCAGAAACTGTGCTGTGGTGCTGACTGTGAGGTGCTGTATGGGATCACAGATTGGAAAAATAAAGATTTTAAACAAATGGGAAGCGGATGATCGTAGCTAGGTGATGGCATTGGCCTTTGGAGTTGGCAGAGACTGCAAGGTGACGTTGTTGCAGAGGAGTCCAACTTGAGGGATTTAGTGACATGAGCGTCCTTGTAACAAATCTGATGGAGAACTCACCCCACATTCTCTGTGCTGGAACTGCATAAACTCTTCTTTGGGATAAATATCCAAAGCTGTTTTGTTTTCCTTCTGCAAGAGTAGAAATAGGTAACACAATTAACATCACTGGGGATTTTGTTTCCAATAATAGTAATTCCAAAAATCAATGTACCCAATTAAGTCTAAATTATATATTTTTAAAAAGCTTGGATTTAGTGAAGATGTGCAGGTAATTGCTTGGAGATGTGTGGGAGGAGTAATGTTCCAGAAAGTCAGAAAATCTTCCAGAAGATTGACTAGTTCTACTGTAATCTGTTAATGTTCCATTGTTGACAGAAGGTCTTATCGTGGATATTCTTGAGGCCTCCTGGCAGGGGCTCAGCGTATGACTGAGATCTGAGTTTGATCTGCTAGATGATAGGCAGCGCAGCAATCAGGGCTTGCAGGAATTGCATTGGCCTGTATTTGTCAGTAGACAAACCCATTTGGTGCTTTGAGGTTATTTTATTGTCAGGTACATAAACTGTTGCAAAAAGCAGAGGCGTGGGTCAGTTTTTTAGAGAATTTGAAGTTCAGCACTAGGGTAAATGTGTTTTATCTCTGCCTCCATTAACAATGACATAGCAGCTTTAGAATAATGGAACAGGTAATCTCTTAAATGTTGGGACTGACAGGCCATAGTCAGAGAGCTGTGGTGGTCACAACTCATTTGATTTCTACTTATGAAGTGAAAAATGTTCCTTAAATATTGGTGGTTTATTGTAGAAATTGTGATTGATACTTAGAGAGCTCAGTTACTTTAGCAACAGAAAATGTTCAATGAATTGTTATGGCTCTCTAAAGTCTGTGATACAACAGCATATCAGTGCACATCAGCTTAAAATTTTGTGATTAGTCACTAGGAAATATAGCAAATATGTAGTAAACAGAACTGCAGCAGTGAAAGATGAAAAGCTACTTGTTTGGATTAAAAAAAAAAAAAAAAAAAAAAAGCTTTTTCATTCAATATTTTTCAACCATGATTGTTCCTTTTAAAGTTTCTCTTGGGGTAATTCTGTCTCCCAGCTCCCCAGTCAGCCAGCTGCCTTGTGATGTATTTATCAACAGGCACTATCCAGAAATAGGAAAATAATTTGCAAGAAGAAACCCTAAAAGAATGATTGTCACCTGCATAGTACAACAGTTAGTTCAGTACCTTTTCTGTGATTACTTTACTTTAAATAAGAATATCAGTATATATCTTTGGAAAGTTTTAAGTGCACAAATCAGACAGTTCAATCTGCTTCTGTTACTACTAATATCAAATAACGTTGCTTACCAGGTAGCTCTTCTCATTACTGTAGAAATCACAGTTACTTCTCTGTGTACTTCTTAAGGAGGTGGTAAATATGCATTTTTATTTCAGAAGAGATTTTTGTGGGATTTGATATAATGTTAATCATAGGTTAAATTGTATACTGTTTGTATTTGTGTACTAATGCTGTATTCTGATACTGAGTTCTCAGTGTAAACTGCAACAAAGTAGTTCTGTAAAATCTGATTATTTGATGCACTTGTTGCTATAAAAACATGTTTACAGTCTGTATCGATTCATGTGTCTTCCATGAAAAGCAGGAATGACTTAACGGGACAGTGCTCTGTGCTTACAAGATTTTCATATTCCTGCATTATTTTTGATCAGGACTGTCCTAAAGAAAGTGTCTGGTTATGATGAAGTAAACGACAAATACCCTTTTAAGCACTGGTGTGACTTGCTTGGTTTATTACTGGTATACCAGTGTAAGTTCCAGCACTGCATTGGCCTTTCCACTTTCTTTGAGCTTGTTCTGAGCAAGTCTATTTTGGGCTTATCTCTACCTTGTTTCTAATGATCGGAACTCTTGAAAATGAAATCAGTTTTTCACTTAATGCATTGAACTTTCTAGAGCAATGGAATGCTTGTGCCTGAACCCACTGTTTTGAAAGAGTCAGGAGGAATTCCCAGATGACTGTTTTCTGGACACTGGATATCTGGCAGGACCAGATTCAGGGTGATGGGAAGGCCCAAGAGAGCAAAGCAGCATGCAGAGCTGGGTGAAAAGCTGTGCCCTGTCCAGCTTGCAGAAGGTGTGTGTGCTGTGTTCTCCACATTCTTCAAACAGGATCTGCATTTCTTAGTCTTTCAAGACTATTATGCTTTGTCTTCTGAAGAGGAAGAAGGAACTTCCCGTTTCCCCTCACTTCATGGCCCTCAGGTTGCTGTAGATATTGAGTCTTGTACATAGAAATACCTTTCTCATATTTGGAGGGGAAAGACTAGGAAAAGTATTTTTATTCCTGTTCTGAAGTATTCCATCCTTCTAGTATTGGAACTACCTGCTTTCAGACCTGCAGATAGCTGTGTTTAAATAAACATAATGGTGAGAATTACCTGTTTCTCAGTAGCTTTATTATAGTCCACAGGTTGGTTGGTTTCTTTGTTGTTTTCCACGTGTCTGTTTATTTTACCTGGTCCTGTAAAGCCAAACCAAGTCATTGTATCTTTAACAGCGTCTTCTAGTAGGGCAAAGAGGAGAATGGAACATCCATTAACATAGAAGTTGCAATTTCTGTAATTATGACAGCTTGAGTCCCGAAACAGGAAACTTCTGTTTCTGTGAACTGTCAATACCTTATATACTTACTGAAGTTCTAGAATGATCTTTGCTCTCTTGACTTGAGATACATATCACCTTAACAAAAGGTCACTATGCTGAAAGTATTAAAAAGTAACAGAAGAGCACTGCTTATGCATCTTGAAGCTGAATTTTCTCAAATAAAATTGTCAGGCAGTAGTTTGGCACACACTGTACCTTCCTGGGTTGCAACTATATGAAGTGGTTGCATAAACTTCTACAGCACCTCTCTGTGCTTAAGGCTTATGGAGTACTTGCTGGGAGGTTGGTGTGTTTTCTGGGTTAATCAAAGCATAGGATCAATCCTCTGAATTTTCTTCTGAGAGTCAGAGTAGCTGCTAAGGTTGGTGAAGGATTTATGTCACTACTTCCATCTGCTTTAACTGCACTGTGTTTTGCCGAGAAAGCAAATTTAATTCATTTAATAGGGTCACGAGTTCAAACAGGGGCTCGGAAAGAGTGGAATTGATTTTTTATTGAGTAGTTGTGGTAATAGGGTGAGTCATTTTATCAGCGGTAACACGAGTTATAACAGTAACACTGCATGTAGACAGAGTAAAACTTATGAAACACAAGTTGCCATTAGGAAGTAAGTCTTGTATCACTGTTAGTTACAAGTTGTGTTTTTGTAGTTCCCTCCTACAGCTTGTTTTCTGATAGTAGTAATTGAATGCCATTAAATAAGATTGAATAAGAATTGTAATTCAGGGTAACAGTCTCCTGCATCTTGCTGCTAATAAGTTTGCTGACACTTGTTTTCTACTGCTTGTGTTTGATTGGAGTTTGCAGCCATTAATCTCTGTGGCTTAGCACTGTAGTTGTTAAGGAGGAAGTGGTGTACCACTGTGGGGATGTACAGCAAGACCTCCAGTCAGTACTGGAACAAATGAAGTCTTACCCACTTATATTCAGCACATTATTTCATCGGAGAAGAAAACAGATGAGTTTTATCTGCCGTGCTTTGTAACAAATGTTCAGTAGAAAGTACATGCCAAACCCTC